TTTCCTTCCTCCTGATAACTTTGGATTTTGATTGTTCTTCTTTTTCTAATTTTTTTAGGTGGTAGGTTAGATTGTTTGAGATTTTTCTTGTTTCTTGAGGAAGGCTTGTATATCACTATGAACTTCCTTCTTAGAACTGCTTTTGCTGCATCCCATATGCTTTGTTACATGGTGTTTTCATTGTCCTTTGTCTTGTGTTATTTTCTGACTTCTTTGATTTCATCATTGAGCCACTGTTTTTTTTTTTAATTTTAAAAAAATTTTTGGCTGTGTTGGGTCTTCGTTGCTGCACACGGGCTTTCTCTAGTTGCGGCAAGTGGGGGCTACTCTTCGTTGTGGTGAACGGGCTTCTCATTGCAGTGGCTTCTCTTGTTGCAGAGCATGGGCTCTAGGCATGTAGGCTCAGTAGTTGTGGTGCATGGGCCCAGCTCTAGGCATGCAGGCTCAGTAGTTGTGGTGCATGGGCCCAGTTGCCCCACGGCATGTAGGATCCTCCCTGACCAGGGATCGAACCCATGTCCCCTGCACTGGCAGACAGATTCTTATCCAGTGTGCCACCTGGGAAGCCCTAACCACTGGTTTTTTAGTAGCATGTTGTTCAGTCTCCAAGTATTCATTCTTTTCCTGTTTTTTTTTTCCTGTGGTTAATATCTAATTTCAGATCAGAAAAGTTGCTTGAAATAATTTCTATCCTCTTAAATTTGTTGAGCCTTGTTTTGTGACCTAGAATGTGGTCTATCCTAGAGAATGTTCCATGTGCACTTGAAAAGAATGTGTATTCTGGGTTTTGTTTTTGGATGTAATGTCCTGTAGTTATCAATTAAGTTGAACTGGTTTGTTTGTCATTTAGAAACTCTGTGCCTTATTGATTTTCTGTCTGGGTTATCTGTCCATTGATGTGAGTGAGGTGTTAAAATCTCCTAAAATTATTGTATTCCTGTCAATATCTCCCTTTATGTCTGTTAGTATTTGTTTTATGGGTTTAGGTGCTCCTCTCTTGGGTGCATATATCTTAATAAATGTAATATCCTCTTCTTGTATTGATCTCTTAACATTATATAATGTCCATCATTGTCCTTCTTTATGGACTTCATTTTAAAGTCTATTTTGCCTTTTTTTTTCCTCCTGTCCTATCTAGTTACATGAGGATCTTATGTGCAGCTTTGGTTGTATAGGAAATCTGCCAGTTTCCAGTTGGTTTTCTGTGAGAACTTTTCCACATGTAGAGTGTTTTTGACATGTTTGTGGGAGCAGGTGAGCTTCTCCTACTTTGCCATCTTGATCCCCCTCCTCCCCCCTTTTATATTTTTAACCTGTTTCTCTATACTATGCCATGTGTAATTCTTCAACTCTTATTTCTGATTGACTAATTCTCCCTTCCCATTGTACCCAATCTATTACTTAACCTGTCCAGCGAGTTTTAAAAATCAATTATTTATTTTTCATTTCTAGATATTCTGTCTAGTTCTTTTTCAAATTTTTCTGATCAGTTTTTTTAGTCTCTTGTTCCTTACTCAGGATTTCCATTCCCTCTTTCATTTATTTTAACAAATTTGAAAATCTTAGTTTATGCTCTGTATCTAGTGGTTTCAATATTGAAAGTCTTTTCATGCCAAATCTGCTTGTTTGGGCTTCCCTGGTGGCGCAGTGGTTGAGAGTCTGCCTGCCGATGCAGGGGACATGGTTCGTGCCCCGGTCTGGGAAGATCCCACATGCCGCGGAGCAGCAGGGCCCGTGAGCCATGGCTGCTGAGCCTGCACGTCCGGAGACTGTGCTCCGCAATGGAAGAGGCCACAACAGTGAGAGGCCTGCATACCGCAAAAAAAAAAAAAAAAAATCTGCTTGTTTCTATCAGCTTTTATTCATGGTAGTTGTTTCTCTGTGTACTTAGTGGGGTTTTTTTTTTTGTATTATCATGAGCTTGTATTTTGGGGAATTTCATTTGCTGAAATTTATTGAGCCCTGGGTTGAGAGTACATTTTTTTTCTTTTTTTTTTTTTTGAGGTGGGAAAATCATTTTTATTTTCTATGTTCTAAAATTTTTATTGAAATATAGTTGATTTACAATGTTGTGTTAGTTTCGGGTGTACAGCAACGTTATTCAGTTGTATATATAAAACTATGTATACACACACACATATATATGGATATTCTTTTTTAGATTCTTTTCCATTATAGGTTATTGCAGGATATTATGTAGAGTTCCCTGTGCTATATAGTAGGTCGTTGTTGGTTATCTACTCCATATATGGTAGTGTGTATATTTTAATCCCAAACTCCTAATTTATCCCTCCCCCTGCTTTCCCCTCTGGTAACCATAAGTTTGTTTTCTATGTCTGAGTCTATTTCTGTTTTGTAAATAAGTTCATCCTTACTTTTTAGATTCCACATATAAGCGACATCATATGATATTTGTCTTTCCCTTTCTGACTGACTTCACTTAGTATGATAATCTCTACATCCATCCATGTTGCTGCAAGTGGCATTATTTCATTCTTACTTATGGTCATTATTTCATTCTTATTTTATTGGGTATATATACCACATCTTCTTTATCCATTCATCTGGTGAAGAGTACATTTCTTCAGAGAATATTTCCTTTTTCTTCTATTAAGCTTTGGGACTTTACCAACTAGGAATGCTTTAAACTTAATTCTTGGTTTAGGATTCTTTGGGGCTGGATGTGTTGTGAATTCGGGCCTCAAACCTGCATGATGACTGGCTGGTACATACACACTTGCAGGAGAGTATTTTTTTCTCTTCACTCAGAACCAAGACCAAGTGAGGTTATTATCCTTTGGGGAAGTAGGGATCCTAGCTTATGTGAGTCTCCAGTTAGAGCCCCTAGCTTATGTGGCCCCTTAGCTTTGTCTCTGTGTTCTGCATGGCTCTAAAGACAGAAGCTTTTGGTCACTGGGAAGTATAGATAGCCACTGTTCAGCACTCTCTTGTCTGGATTCATGTGTCTCCTTCATTTTTAGCCTCTGCACATTTCTTTTTCTTGCCAGCAAAACCAAGTGTTCAAAATTATGTGTCTGGTTTTGCTTTGTTTTGTTTTATCCAGCATTTATAAAGTTAGATTTTTTTAAAGATATTTATATTCACTATTGCTGGAAATTTAAATTTTCATTCCCTGTAAAGTTTTCTTTTAGAGGTATGCCTCTATTTTGTAAGTCATTTGTGGAGAGGAATGACTGAAAGGACACAAGTTTATTAACAAGTAATCAAGCATAGCTGTTATCAATTAATTCATTTTCCAGGTTCCCTTCGTGACCCCAGCCAACCAGGTCTTCTCCTATGTCCAACTCTCCAAGGCATTTTGTTATAATTCATAGCACTGGCAAGATTTCACATACTACAATTTTTAAAAGATTATTTTCCTTTATTTTTAAAAATTTTTTAAATCTTTGTGTCAATAGTTATACTTTTCTTGTTAGTTTTTACTCTTTTTTTAAAAACTTTTTATTTTATATTGGAGTATAGCTGATTAACAATGCTGTGTTAGTTTCAGGTGTACAGCAAAGTGATTCAGTTATACGTATACTGGGATCTATTCTTCTTCAAATTCTTTTCCCATTTAGGTTATTATAGAATATTGAGCAGAGTTCCCTTGCTATACAGTAGGTTTTTGTTGGTTATCTATTTTAAATATAGCAGTGTGTACATGTCACTCCAAAACTCCCAATATTTCCCTTTAGAGAAGAAGATAAATGATAATTTCTCCCATAATTGGCTGCTCAAAAATTAAGAATGTGTTAGTTTCCCTTAGTAACACAGTACGGATATTTAATTTAATCATTACTTCAAGTTTTAAGTACTATGTGCTAGACACTCTGAGGGGAAGCATTCTCTAAAGTGGAGAATTTATTCAACAAACATTAAGTTCCTACCATGTTCCAAGAACTGGAAAAACAACATGAACAAAGCACAGAGACAAGAAACAGCCTGGCCTATTTAGGGGCCCAAGATAGTTTAGAACGAATGGAACATGGAAGTAGGGGGCCAGAAGTGGGGCAAGAAATGGGATAAAGTATCCACAAATTTATGTAGACTCTCCTTGAGCTTTTATTTGTGTTCAGACTTTTTAACCTTTCAGAATTCATATGCTTTCTTCATTTTTTAATGCTTAAATCAATACTTGAGATTTAAATCTTAAGCTGTTACTAGAATATGGTATTTGAATATGTAGAAGTCTTAATCAGAAGGTAAAAAGAAATCTTGTGTTTCATTGTAGCCCTGTAACCAGTCTCTGGGTCAATGCCTGGCCCTGGGCCACAGTGGGTTAGGGTGGCCCACAAGGGTCTGGGACGGGAGTCGGGGGTCGGTACAGGAAAACACAGTAGGACCTTATTGCATGTAATAGTATCAGGGGAATGCAGGAACCATGAATCTACAGGAGAAAGCTGAGACCAGGGTCCCAGAATTCAGGCTGGACCAGAGGGGGAAAGACAGAGAGCAGAATCTGAAATCATTACCAGAAGGCCTGGGTTCAAGCCCAGCTCCAGGGCAGAGGCAGGGCGCAGATTCCAGGAAGGCCAGGGAAACTTGGCGTCTGTAATAGGTCCACAAAGGAGTTCAACTTGAGGACAGCTGGAGCTCCTAGGACAGGGAGTGTTTCCCCTGCCCTGGGTTTCAGAACAGTCCTTGGTGTGGGAAGCCAAGGCTTGTCATGGCACACAGGGCAGCCCCAGGGCGGCTGACGAGTGCAGCTCAGACAGGCCAGGCCCTCAAAGAATGGGCCCGGCAGCCTGATTGCCACACCTCCGTCCTCAAAAACTTTCCATGGCCACACCTGCAGAACTGTGCCCATGGCTAAAACACGAGAACGGGAGTCCTAGCAGGTGAGGATTTGCAGTAGAATTCCTGGTAGGACTTTTGGAAGACTACACACCGTATCCCTACTGATTTCCAGGATACAGTGGTCTGCTTTTCTCGGGGGATATTTTTTAGTGTTACTGAAATAAAGAGCGTGAGTGATAGAAGCCTTGGAGTGTACAAGTATGTCCTTGGGTCCCATTTCAGGACGCCGAGGCATCAGACTGCCTAAGACAGGTACGTGTGCTTGGGTAGAGAAGTGCTCGGCAGGTGCCCGATGTACTTGTTTCCAGCTTTATTAATGAATAAACAGTAAACTGATGGCAGGGCTAGGCATTCTGGGAAGGGACAGCCCAGGCAGTGCTCTGAATCTCTTCAGTGACAGCGCGTGATCCTGAAGGCAGGTCAAGGAATAAAAAGCCAGACAGTCAAATGTGGCTTTAGGGAGCTGCGCAGGTGGCCCAGTCCTTAGCTCTTTCATGCTCTGCGGGCCCTCCGTCTGCCCGAGGCCCCGACCACAGTGACTGAGGGGAGGAAGGGTTAGCGGAGGGAGCCTGCGTGGTGCTTCCCCATCAGACCGCCGCAGATCCAGCCCCTGCCTCCGCCTCCCATCCTGATGCCAGTGCCTGGCCCTCCTCCTATCTCACGGGTTCTGGGGTTCACCTTCCCGCCCCACTCTCTAAACTCTGTTAAGGAAAGAGAAAGGAGAGCATGCTCTGGGCTGCGCCTTCAGGAGAGACGCCAGAGGACAGACAGAGCTGAGCTGGGCTTTGAACGGGACCCGCTCTTGATAACCAGAAAGGAGGTGGAAGGATGTGCTAGGCAGAGGGCAACGGGGAGATCAGCCTGATGGAACACAGGGCTCCAGATGCGGAGAAGGGTTAGACAGACAGCATGGCCTTTTAGGATGGTCTTAAATTCTAGGCTCAGTTTGAACTTGACAGCAATGAGAAGTCGTTTAAATTAGGGGGTACCAAGAAGGGGTAAAAAATTCAAATTAACCTTTATAATTTTAATAGCTAATATTTACACATTACAAAGCATGGTTTGTTTCTTTGGGCCCTTACAAGAATCCTGTGGAGGTGGAAGTGTTTAATTTGGACACTGGTATAGGATGAATGGCAGCATTCTCAGTGATTCAAGCTGCCTGCTGCCATGGAGGTTCATAAAAGGGCTGAAGTGTGTTTGTTATTAAACACAATGGGATCGGTTATGCTGCTGAAGGAATCTTCTGGAAATGTTTTTTTTTCTCTGCGGTGAGAATAAGGAGGAACGGAAAATACAGGTATGATTAGGAAAAGGACTAGTAATCAACCTTGTATTGACTTTTGTCTCGCTCTGCTTGTGCACCCGCCTGATGAAATGCTAATGTGGGCTTCGCGGGCAATCAGGGGGACGGTTATAAATAGAGCCAGCTTAAGAATAAAATAGAATGGCTTCGCTGCAAACTCCAACATTGTTTAGGGAAAGATGTCTAGTTATGAACATTCTGTATTTTTCCACCTGACATTCCCCCTTCCTGTTTTCCTTTCAGAGTTTCAGACAAAAGGTAGCTCCTGGGCGAGAGGGACTCCTTCAATCTATGTAAACCTGGCCATGTTGTCCTTCCATAGGTTACAACTATACAAAACATGAGCCTGGACACGGATTTGACCCCCGGGAGTTTCAAAACTTTGGATTTATATAAAATAGAGTATAATAATGAAGGCCATGGACAGTGGAGTCTAATTCCCCAGGGATGAGCCCTTGGATGAGTTCCTTAATACTAGGCCTCGGTTTCCCCACCTGTAAAACAAAGATAATAGGACCTACCTCATAGGGTTGTTGTGGGGATTAAATGAGATAAATGAGGTCAGGCACTCAGTAAGTATCACCTATCATTGTTAACAAAGGTTTTAGGAGGGGTATACAGAATACGTAACTGTGGCAACGGCAAGGCCAGAGCAAATCCCAGGGAATATCAAATTACAGAATCATTTAACTATAATACTATATTTGAAAGGGACTTTCAGAATTGCTCCAACCCTTGTTTGGTACCAGAAACTCTTCCTTTCCCACTTCTCTCCCTAAGTGGCTACTCAGCCCCTGCTTGTACGCCGCACACAGTGATGGGAAACTGCAGTCTCAGGCCAGCGCCAGAAAGCTCTGTTGGAAAGTTTCTGTGTATGCCGAATCTAAAGCTAACCTCCTAGAACTTTCACCTACTGGCTTCGTTGCTTCCAGAGTGGTGGAGAATAGGCCCGTATAGCACCTTTCAAGTTTTGGAATGATCATCACCACAGTTAGTCCTGTCGACATTAAACTACCCTGGTTTCCCTAACTATTCTTCAAAAGACTTGTCTTCTAATCACATCACCACCCTGGTCCTGTTACTCCAAGATCAACAATTCTCAACTGGGGTAACACATCTGGAGACATTTTAGGTTGTCACAAGTGGGGCAGGGGTGCTACTGGTACCCTAACTAGAGGCCAGGGATGCTGCTAAGCATCCTATAATGCACAGGACAGCCCGACAACCAAGAATTATCTGGCCCAGATAGTCGATAGGGCTGAGCTTGAGAAACACTGTCCTAAATATACATGTTCATCAGTGTTCTTCTTAAAGCCTAGGGCCCAAAATGCACACGGAGGAGTGTCAGCTAACGCTGCCATTGGACTGTTCGCTGACATTGGAGTGTCAGCTAACACTGCCCTACTTTGCCATTAAATTAGCCTGAGACTCAGGTAGTTCGTAGTGATCGGTCAGTGAAAGCCCCCTTTCATGTGTTGCTGTTAACCCAGGGATAGGGCTCACTTGGAAATGCTCACTTAGAAATCTCTCATCAGTGGTGGCCCTCTCTCTTGCTGAGCCCCGCGGCAGCCTTGCAATCTTTTCCAACACAATATCCTAGGCCACCACCAAGAATCATTCAAAAGAAGTTGGTGTACGAGATGAAATCTATTTGCTGGTCATGTCTCCCTGGTTTTGTGGCATTGGGGCCCACGTATGATGTAATCCTGGGGCCTGTGCTTTGGAGGACCCCACAACCCTGTGTCACGACCCCTAGTGGCAGCTTGAAAGAAGAAAGGATGCCTCAACCTGACCCTTGAGAGCACCCAAGTCTCTCATACGCAGTCTCCTAAAATCCCTTTCCCGAACACAAAGCCATGCTGACCGCCGCAGTGTGGATAGAGCAGGCCTGCCCAGAAAGGAGGCGCCCTCTTCCACACACGCTCCTCAAGCTGCAAGTAATAGCGCCTCCTCTTTGCCAATTTCTTCCCCACTCTTGATGCTCACGGTCTGGGTTCCCTGGATCCACGCTCGCCTTGCTTTTCCCAATATAAAGAGATGAAGGAGAGGCACTTAGAGTTAGGGAAACATACTCTACATCCTGGATTCTTCAGGGAAAAAAAGAACTTGAGTACATGGCAATCTAAACTTCTCAGAAACCTAAAACCTATACTAATCAATATCTAGAAAACAGTTACATAATTTTCCCTTGAAGCCCAGTGCTTCATATAGTATTTAAAATAATTCCTTTTCTCCTTTTATGGGGAAAAAAAGAGAGAGAGAAAGAGAAACTTTTTGGATAGGCTGAAATAAATGTCTTCAATTTCAGCATTCCTTTATAAACCTAGTTACTTTATTAGTTTATGAACAAAGTAATATGTTTGATTTATTCAAATATTTACCTGATTTACTCAAATATTCTGCTTGTAATATTTAAGAGTAGAATTTATTCAGATTAATCCCACGTTTGCTAACTTAATCTGATTTTCAGAGCGTTAATCATTTACCAGTTACACAAGTGGAGGTAAGCTGATGATCTATAAGGAATGTGGTGTCTCTCAGCTTCTAAGTATTTGAGAAGGAGGCTGAAACTGGACAACAGAGAAACCATTAATGTTTGAATAAAACAAAGAGCGGCTGATGTCTTCTGCGATGAGTGCTCTACACAATGGCGTAGCAGATCAAGGAAGGCCTTGTTTTCAGAAATGGAGCGAGAGAAGATATGCAGGGGTGAGGCCAAGGGAGCCTTCCAAACTTGTAGCCTCCTGCCATATGGCACTTTTTTCTAGAAGTGTGGCTCTTAGGAGCACAGGCTCACAAGTTGGACTCCCTGGGTTTAAGACCCGGCTCTCCCATTTTCTAGCTGTGAGAGCTTGGTCATTTACTTAAGCTAAGCGTCAGTCTCCCCACATGCCAAAAGGTAAAGATAGTGGTACTTACCTCGTAACATTGTTGTAAGGAATGAACGAGACTCTGTATGCATAGCGCTGGCACACAGAACATGACCAATAAGAATTAGCTATTGTTTTATCACCCTCATGGACCTCTGATACAATGAGAATTGTCCTTAAGAGGTAGGTATCTCTATCCCAGTTTATTTCTTGGTAATTTGTTAATACAGTCTGTCTGCTGCTATATAGATTTCTAGAGCACTAATTAGCTCATATGTGGTTGGAAAATAGGGGAACAATAATGGCTTACCATGGAAATAGTATTGGTTCACATGCAACTTTTTCCAATGCAAGGGGAGCTGAAATAGCAGAGAAGAATGACAACTTCAGTGGGAAGGGCTCAGTGTGGCTTTCCGTTCTTTTTTTCTTTTAATTTTAAATGAACACCTGCCCTTGGGGCTCCTGCCCCAGAGACACACACCCCAGGTTCCTTGCACCTCCCAGGTTCCACTTCCCCCCATCATACTCACCTTCACAGCAGTCTCACTGGCTCACGGCACCTTAAGTCAGAGTTTTGACTCAATTGTTTCTGCGCATTTTAAATTTTCCCCAAAGCAGCTTCTGGGCCTACTGGGTGGGCTGCCTGCTTTGGCCGTCCAATTTACCTCCCAAGGTACCGATTACTGCGTCTCTTAGAGACCAATTACAAAGTCACATAGACTTTGAATAATCTGCTCTTAACCCTATTTTTTCCCATCAGCCCTGTTACCTTCATTGTGTGATTTTGTAGAATGTGAGGTTTTTCAGGAACACAACGTGTCTTAATAGAAATGCCTCATTTCTTTCAAGTGCCACAGAGAGCGGCCGCAGCTGAAGCAAAGACATGTGAAGGAACTGAGCAAGGCCATCCTCGGGTAGTATGGATGTGTTTGCAGACTCCCAGGCTGCAAGGCTGGTCCCTCCCCTGAAAGGTAGAGCTCTACAGCCACTGAAATCACCTTCTCCCGGCCCAGAGCACTAAAGTGTGATGCTTGGGTCCTGACCCCATGCAGTGCAGCAGAAACAACCACTTTTCTTTTTGGTTCTGCCCTGGAGAGAGACTGCATTGCAGCATGAATTAGCTAAATATATTTCTGAACAAAGCCTTTCTCTTTACTTTCTTTGAAATTTGGTCACGAAACTGCACTTTGATTCTCCCTATTTCTCTCAGATTTAAATACTTCCTACCTCCCCAGAATTCCTGTGAGAACTTGTTCCTCTCTTCACGGAAGCCCTCACCACATTATGTCTTATTACAGTGGTGTGTTATGTGTGTCTGTGTGTGCATCTGTATGTCTGTGTATGTTTTATTTGTGTGTGTGTGTGTGTGTTTGTGTGTGTGTGTTTTACCTCAGTTACACTAAGTCCCTTGAGGGCAGGCACTTTGTTTACGTCATCTCTATACTTTCTCCATATTGCCCAGAACAATGTCTTTCACATAGTAAGTACTTAATAAATGTTTATTAAGTGAGCAAATCCCCCAAAGGCATTGACTTTCATCTGCGCTCTTTTGTCAGGAGGGTCTAACAAATGTGCACTGTGGATTCCGGTGCAGTGGTTAGAAGACACAGATTTGCTTTAAAAATTTCCTGGAGAGCAGTTATTGGAAATTATTCTGGGGAAGTAAAAACCGCAAAGCAATGTAAGAACACCTTATGTGAAATATTTTATTCATCTTTTTAAAAAATTAATAAGCAGCAGACAAGAATTATTTCATCTGGCTGCTCGGATAGTTCCTGCCTCTCTTTCCAAGGCTCTGGAGGTTGAGTGGTTTCCCAAGGGAATACCGGCTCAGAACAAACCTCAAGGTGATTTCTGCTTAGATAGGGAACTTGCTGCCAGACGGCAGGGTTCTGCTTCCACAGCGAGCGAAGCATGTGGGTCTGGGGGTAAGGAAGATGGGCTCAGCTGCTTTGACTGAAACCTAAAACCTCCACTGTCCCCTTCCTGTTGGTGAGTATCCAGGTGTCTGTTCAGTGTCTCTGCTGTCCAAACCCCCTCCTTAGAGAGGGTAGGTTTGCAGCAGGGAGACCTGTGATGGTTCAGTGCGACTGGAGTGCAGGACCCCAGGGGCAGTGTGGGGGAGAGGCAAGGCTGGAGAGAGAGGGCAAGGCCCCCTTTGGAAGGTCATGCTGGCTACATCAAAAAGTGGATTTTTATCATGAGGGAAATAGAAAGGCACTTGAAGTTTTAAGCAGAGGGAGTATAATGATTAGTTTTGTAATCATTCTTACCAATAGCTCAGTAGCTAACCAAAGGGTAACAGTTGGTCCTCACAACCATTTCCATCAGCACCACCAAGAAAATATATACTTCATTAGAAACATGTGCTTGTTATATAACCATAGCAGAAAAACAAGAATGATAATAGCTAATATTATTAAAGCTTCCTATGCGCCAGACACCGTTCTAGGTGATCTTTTAAAATGTGTTTAACTCAATCTTCACAAGAAGGAATGGAAATTTGAGGTCACACAATTAGTAAGTAGTGGTGCTGGGACTTGAACCTATTCAGGCTGGATCCAGAAGCCTGTGATTACAGTATTATACTGCCTCAGTGATCACCCTCGGCCTCGCTTTCAACTAGGTTATCTCCCCTAAGCCACACTCATGCAGAAATTCTGAGGTCACCACTGATTCTGGCAGTGTGAAGAATGGGTTGGAGAGGTCTAGACCAGAAGCAGGGCTGTCAGGAGAGCGTTGCAGTGATGCCGGTGAGACATGATGGTGACCAGGAACGGTGGAAATAGAAATGGAGGAATATGAGAGAAATTAAGGAGAACAGGATCTGGTAATTCAAGCAAATGACAAAATGCACATTGAATGCTGAGCACCAAGCCTAGTACATGCTTTTTTTGATATATCAAACTACTAGGATATTTTCATTATCACCAGTTGGGTTATTCTCCAGATTTAAGTCCTAGCTTTTGATAATAAGCTTGCAGCAAAAAGCCACAAGTAAATTTTTTATAGTAAAAAGTAACATATGAATAGCCCTTTATGGAATATGCAACAATCATTGTCAGTTTTGTTCTTAAAACAACTCATTTGTATTGGTTTGCTAGGGCTGCTGTAACAAAGTACCACAAACTGGGTAACAACAGAAAAAAATATCGCCTCACTATTTTGGAGACTAGCAGTCCAGGTGTCAGCAAGGTTAGTTCCTTCTGAGGGCTGTGAGGGAGAATCTGTTCCAGGCCTTTCCCCTAGCTTCTAGTAGTTTGCTGGCAATCGTTGGTGTTCCTTGGCTTATAGATCTCTGCTTTCATCTTCACATGGTGCTTTCCCTGCGAGCACAAATTTCCCCTTTTTTTAAGGGCACCAGTCACGTTGAATTAGGGGCCCACCCTACTCCAGTATGACTTCATCGTAACTAATCACATCTACAATGACTATTTCCAAATAAAGTCACATTCTGAGGTTCTGGGGCTTAGGACTTCAAAATACAAATTTGGAGGGGGACACACATCAACCTGTAACACTTACAGAAGGTAGAGCAGGAATTACTCTTATTCCCATTCTATGGATAAACGGAGTCTCAGAGAGATGAAGTAATTCACCCAAAAGGTGAGTGAGTTCCTGGGTCACAAAAGCAAGTCTGCTGTCAGCTCAGTAGTCAAAGAGAGCCAGATAGTATAATACCTCTTGCTATGAGTTTGTCCACCTGTTCTCACACACTTGGACCAGTAAGATCTGAGGCCACACCTGGGTGTGTAAAGAGAGGGGAAGTGGTCAGATGTGGCCTCTTCTTGGAATCAACTGCAGATACCCTATTATTAAAAGCTTCGTTTTGCTTATTCAGTTGCTGCCCCTATGGCTGTACCTCATGAGGGTTTATCCTCCAGGGTAACTGTTTACTCAGATTGTTTCTTGTAAGTCTGTTGTTTCTCTCTGGTGGGCCCATCCCTGAGCTGAGGAGAGCTGGGTACAATGAGCCTATTCAGGGCAGCAAGTAAAATGCCCCGTGCTTCCCTTTTCTCTCTATAGCATCATTCTTTGCCTCTCTGTGCCTTTCTTTTGTCGTGCCTATTTCGTAACATCAGCGTGGGTGTGGGGAGGGTATGAGTTGCCAGCAATGAACGTGTGGCCGAGGACACCTGCCTGATGACTTATGCACCAGAGCAGGCAGCACTGAGCAAGCTTCCCAGGAACTGCTTTGCCCCCATGCCAGCTCTGACCTGCACCTTCTGTTCTGCCTGAGTCCCTCTCACCAGCTAAAGCCGGTATCCCCTCATGGGCCCCTCTGGGCAGAGAGGAGGGACAGACCACTTGTGAGCCCTCACCCCTGGGAGGCAGCATAGGAAGTAGGCAGGTGCAGATTCTGGAGACAGATTCTAATCCCAGCCCTACCACTTACCAACCGTGTGAATGTACGGAAGATGCTTGACCTCCCTGTGTCATTCCTCATCTGTAAAATGGACATAATATATTTGTTTACCTCATAAGATTATCACATGGATAAATGACATAATCCATAAACGGTGCCTAAAACAACATGTCTGCTATGTAATTCTAGCACTCAGTAAATGTAAGCAATACTTCCTTATTTGTTTATTTCCCAAATGTCATTTGTTAATCTGCTCATTGAAAACTGGCGAGATACATATCAAGAAGTCAGTGGTTGTTATGTCTGGATGGTGGAGTTACAGGTGACTTTATTGTCTTATTTTTGCTTATTTGTACTTTCTAAACTTTCTGTCTTACTTTTTTAATAAGAGGAAACAGACTCCTGTCGAGGATCTGCAGGGTGAAGTGGACTAGAGATGAGTGGGTACAAAGTGAAGACGTGACCGCTGTCCTTAGGAGTTTAAAGTCTATGGAAGGAGACAAAACAGATAGGTTAATGATGTAAGAGGGATGGGCAGTAATGCTCAGGGTGGGCTGGGGATGGAACTAGTCCCCCCTCAAGTGGCACCTGGCATTACAGAAATGCCATCGGGTTTTCCCCAGCAGTCTTTGTGTATGGTCTTCACTGACCTGGAAATAGGAACGATGGCACACACAGCCAGATAAAAGAGCCACTCCTTTAATCTATCCCAGCACCCCAGGCGGACAGGGATGGGATCGCTGAGATTCCTTTCTAAGGTACCTATTTCTAGGAAATAGCTTATGTTGAAGAAAACGTTGAGACTCTTTATGTAACACCTCTTGCAAATGACAGGTATGAGCCCAGGTTGCGAAGCAGCACGTCAAATGGAATGAAGAAGTAATTTCCTGTTTTCCTGTCTCTCCACAGCATTATTAGCACCATCATTATTCTGGCTGGAGCAACTGCACTTATCGGTTTTGGTATTTCAGGTATGTGATTTATTGCATTATCATCGATCCATTCACCCCTCGTCACTAAGTCCCTAATCATTCAGTGTGGTAGAATGGCAAGAGCACAGATCTTGGACCAAGAAAACTTCAGAGTAGAGAACTGGTTCTTCTACTCATTGACCGTGTTCTCTGCACTTTATTCATGTAACGCCCTGGACCTCAGTTTCCTCATGTATGGTGTGGAGGAAATAATGTCTACCTCACCAGGTAGTTGAGAGAATCAAGTGCAATGTCTGTCAGAGTGTTCTGTCTACCAGATAGTGCTGAAGGTATCACGCTGGGATCATAGGCAAAGTGCTGTGGCTGAGCCATTCTCTCTCAATGGCTGGCCTGAGTAGATGATTCCTTTGCAATGAAGCTTCAGCTGAAGTGTTAAAGGATATCAAGTCTTTGTACACAGGGTTCTTAATGAGAATCCTTATCCTGGTCATAACTGCCATTCCATGTAGGAAACAGAAGCCATTGCGGCATGGATGGCGAGTTTCTGAATGCAGCTAACTGATGTCAACTGCAGGAATCGTCTTCTCTTCTGTGGACACCATGTCTCAGAAGCATCTATTATGGATGCCAGATTAATTAAGACATTGAATGAGTTAGACCAGCAGCTGTCCTCTCTGAAGCAAGTCGTTTGCTTCATTTCCCTTAAAGTGCCTGACTCAGGACGACACATTTATTTTAACTTAGTCTGTGGCCAAAGCTTCATAACTTTAGTTTTTATAGTTCCAGCTGTCTTCTCTCTGTGTCACTCTCCTCCAGTGTGTGTGCTGCCACTAAATAGTAATCACAAGGCCTAAATGAAGAAAACTCGTTGTAGATATGTTTGCCTAGAAAAGACATAAGCATCCTTCTCCATTTTCTTTTATCAACAAAAATGTATATTTTGTCTTTCATCCATCTTTCTATTGGGTTATCTTTTTCTTTTTGATATGTGGGAACTCTTTATATATTCTGGGTGAAATTTGGTTATGTGTATTGCAAAATCTCCTCTACTCTGTCTTGATTTTTCACCTTCTTAATGATGGCTTTCAATGAGCAAAGTTCCTAATTTTAACATAGTCCAATTTATCAACCTCTTCCTTTATACCAGGAGTTTTTTGTAACCAGTTTGTTTAAGAAGTCTGCCCATCCCAAGGTCATAAACATTTTCTTCTAGGTTATCTTGTAGAAGCTTTAATGTTTAACCTCTCACATTTATATCTACAACTATCTAGAATAATTTTGTGCATGGGCAAAGATAGTGGCAAGATTGGTCAAAATACTATCCTTCCCCCACTTCTCACTAGTGCCATTTTTGTCATAAATCAAGTATCCAAATGCGAATGGATCTGTTTCTGAGCTCACTAGCCTGTTTCATTCTAATATTCTTTTATAATTTGTTTTTTCTTTATTTCATCTCTTCCTATTCCTAATCTTGGGCGTGCTCTCTCTCATATCTTTTTTTTTTCTCTCATATCTTAAAATAGGTTTACAGGTGTTAATTAGCTTTATAGTAGTTTTGAAGGACCCAGGTTTTGGTTTTCTTTTTACTTTCTCTGATTTTCTTATTTAATTAATTTTGGCTTTTATCTTTATTAATGTCCCTCTTTCCATTTTGTTTTGATGTCTTTTCTTTCTTTTTTTAAAATATTTATTTAGGCTGCGCCGGGTCTTAGCTGCGGCACTCGGGATCCTTGTTGCAGCATGTCTAGCTGCGGCATGCAGGATCTTTAGTTGCAGTATGCGGACTTCTTAGTTGCGGCATGCATATGGGATCTAGTTCCCTGACCAGGGATCGAACCTGGGTCCCCTGCATTGGAAGCACGGAATCTTACCCACTGGATCACCAGCGAAGTCCCTTAATTTTTTTTTTTTTAAGTGATGATCCATTTAAATTCTTTTTTATTTTAAAAAAATTTTTATTGAAGTATAGTTGATTTACAATGTTGTACTAATTTCTGCTGTATAGCAAAGTGACTCTGTTATACACATATATACCTTCTTTTTTTTTTTTAATATTCTTTTCCATTATGGCTTAAACCAGGAGACTGGACAGAGTTCCCTGTGCTGTACAGTAGGACCTAGTTGTTGCTGTCTTTTAATTCTTTTTCTAATATCTTAAAATAAGCACCTCACAAAACAGTGCGTCCAGAAAGCCAATAAACAGCCCTTAGTAGATACCGCCATTTAGTTTTCCAAAGTGATTTACCAAGTCCCTCTTCACAGGAAGTGTATGAGGGACCCAGTGCTCCATGCCCTCACCGGCACTGGATCTTGTGGGACACTGTTGTGATTTTAACTTCTAAATATTTCCTGGTGACTGACAGACTGGGTGCGTTTTCATATGAGAAGCATAATGCTGAGCGACAGAGCCAGACACAAGACAGTACATTCTGTATAAAAACCAGGCAAATGAACCTCTGCTATTAGAAGGCAGAATAATGATTATTCTCCTGGGAAGAGTGAGAGAGCAGCCATCAGGAGGGGGCACGAGGGGACTTCTGGGGGATAGTAAAGTTCTAGTTCTCAGTGTGGGTGCTGGGTACATGGGGAGAAGTCGTGATAATTCTTCAAACTGCACAATTCTGTGTACACTTCATGTATGTATGTTATACTTCTATATCTTCTACAATATATATATAGAAATAAAATATTGACTAGTAAAGCAAATATTTTGGACTTTTAAAGATATCAATACATACGTTTTGGTAGCTTCCTCACTAATCCTTAACTCCTCTTCTTTAGTTATAACTTCAGCTTCCCTGTGACAGTCAACATTTTGCTACTCCTTAAGTGCTTTTTTTTTTTTTTTTTTTTTTTGCAATACGCGGGCCTCTCACTGTTGTGGCCTCTCCCGTTGCGGAGCACAGGCTCCGGACGCGCAGGCTCAGCGGCCATGGCTCACGGGCCCAGCCGCTCCGCCGCATGTGGGATCTTCCCAGACCAGGGCACAAACCCATGTCCCCTACATCGGCAGGCGGACTCTCAACCAGTGCACCACCAGGGAAGCCCCTTAAGTGCTTTTTGAATAGACAAGTGGACGGAGGCATGGAGGGGTGAATAGATAAAAGTTACAGTTCACTCAGTTCAGCAGTGTACCACCAATAATATTAAAACCCTACCACCAATGAAAGACTTTCTGCCTTCTTTCTATTTCATAAGGTAAAAGCTGGCTATTCGGGATTAAGTGGGCTGTTTATTACTTTAACACTGTTTAGTTGGATTTTTCTAAATTGCCTCTATTAAAAGGACCATAACCCTTACCCGGGAGCATTATATTATCACACTTTAAGTAGATTAGATAAAATGTTAGCTGCGTTAATACACAAGACAGTGAAATTAAGCAAATAGCATTAGGTAGATAATGATGACGGTGATGGTGATATCTTTTGAATCCTTTTTGCGTTCACCTCACTGTGCTAAATAAGTTTGCATATATTATCTGATTTACCACTCACAACAAATAGGAGATAAATATTACTATGTCCTGATTAGAAAATTGCCTAAAGTTGCACACAGCGAGCAAGCAGGCACAGTTGTGTTTCAAGCCCTGGAAATTTGCTTCCAGAACCCACACTCCTTCCCATCACTCCATACCAGTGATAACATTCATGCAGAGATGTGGCAGAGAAGGGTGTTTTCTGGTATGCCTTGCAGGCAATATTCCTGAGAACACAGATTTTAAAGATGTAAAGATATTCCTAAACACAGAAAAGAATCTATTTCTTTGTAACTCTCCTGAGGCTGTGTATGTCACCTTCTCATAGCCATTCCACTCCTTACAAGCTCTAAATGTGGACCCCATAAAACATAAAATGCTTTTGAGGTAGGTTGTTTGGAAGAGAGGCTGAACAGCTCCCATTAGGCTGGCTTTAGGGCAGCCTTCGTGGATGACCCTTTGAGAAGGAGGGAGGTGCAGTGGAAAGGTCCCTGACTATAATTTGTCAGTCCCTGTGCTATCACTCACCCACTGGGTGACTTTGAACAGCTCTGTATAGTACAAACATTTAGGGATCACAGTTGTTCTAATCTCAGGTCTAACATTAACTGTGTGTCCCTTGGGATATGACTTAACTTCCCAGAACTTCACTGGTAAAATAAAGTCGTTGTGGGAATATTACACGAGAAAGTGTTTATAAAGTGCCAGACACATACGTGTGTAATAAATGGCTGCTATTATTGTTTTCATTGATACCATCAGTGCCATTAATAATAATTTGCTATTATTAATGCATTCACATAGCATCTCCTAAAACTTGTACTATTTCCTGGCCACACCCAGAAGCTCCTCTGAAGTTAGGGAAGCCAGGGCAGGAAGCCACAGGACACTGCCTCCTAATTATGCTCCATCTTTGGTCACTGGATAAAACAATCAGGCATGTGCTTATGGCACCGAAACAGGAGCACTGAAGTTGTTTGGAAAGAAATTGATACATATTTTGTCACTGTAGTCATCTGAGAAAATAGACAGATGTTGGCCTTTCTTACACTTGTTTTATGGTTTTTCATTGTTTTTTATTTTTACGTAAGGTGGGGATACTGTTTTAGTGAATAGGCTCTCTCTATATCTCAGTCTGGCCCTGGATATCAGCGAAATGTGGTGGAAGGAGTATAGGCTTAGGACAGACTCAGACAAGACTGAGTTTGATACTGGCTCCGCTACTTGCTAGATACGGGGCTTTAGGCAAGCCATTGAATCCCCCAGAGCCTCTTTATTCCTATTCATAAAATGGGTAGAACAGTAATTCCTACCTCTCAAGGTTGTTATCTGACTTAAAATGAGTCACTATAAGCATTTAGTAAAGTGTTTATTTCCTCCCTGTGCTCTGGCAACCCAGAATCGTAACTCCTATAAAGAATCCTTGCCTTGTGTTACCTATAACCCCACTTCCCAAGAGATTCCTGCTCCTACTGCAGAGGGCAATTGAATAGTGCCCACTCGTGTGAAAACAAAATGGTTCCAATTTCAGCTTGCTCCCGCCCTTTGACAGCTCCTCTTTTCCCATGCAGACCAGAGCTGTGATAGTAATCAGCCCTCATGAGCTAGAGAATTCATTTTCAGTAAGTGGCTGGGACTTCTAACTTTAAAGAGGTTTGATGGAATCTTAGAGACCAATGGAATTCTTGAAACCCGTGCCTGTTTAACAAAATTCTCTATCAGTAGATAGCTCCTTCTAACCATCTCTTAAAGCCCTTTTACCCTCAACAAACCACACAAGAGCCCCTGGTGGTTAGGAGGTCTGGAGAGTCATATTAGGCCAAACTGTGGTTCCTAGAACATAGCTCCTTGAGCCAATATTTGTTTGCAAAATTGAAAACAGATTTCTTTTTGAGAGAAGCAATATTTATATACTGTTGCTTGCAAAGTAAATCTCATTTTATCACTTGTAACCATCATTTATTCACCTAACAAATAAGTATTTATTGATTGCTTTCTGGGTGCAAAGCAATGGCCAGGTCCTCATGGTTTCTTAGATTCTCACTGGCTTTTATTCCTCCTCCTGATTTGCTACAAGGAGGGGGGATTTAATCAACATTACACATATTCCATCTGCCATATCTTTAATGCAACCTTAAATGAGCTAGAGCCTGCGGTGGGTCCCTGGGGCACTCCACAGCTGCCTACTTTTAATAAGTTTTCTAAGAGATAGTTCAACAAATTCTCCACCTGTGGGCTCAAGGCCAACACATTAAAATTAATTCAGTAACATAATTACTCAACTAAGATATGTCATTACAATTTCATTCTCTCCATAAACTGTGCTAATCATGTATTTTTTCTAAAAAGTAATTTTTCAATTCAACTTTAATGGAACTTTATAAACTACAATCAAATTTACCCTTGCTCTAACATAGTTATGCTTGCTCTATGATTTTATTGAGAATCATGGTGTATTTTCATTGCTTTCTTTTTCACTGACTCACATTTCCCCAAAATTTAGATGGGATAATCTAGCCAAATGTTCCTTACTCCTACAATCATTTTGGATAGAATCATCTCAAACAGTGCTTTGATTTCTACTGATTTTCATTCTTTCATTCATTCATTCACTCAACAAATATTATTTTTCTCTGTAGAAACACAGCACTAGGCACTTGTCTTAGTTTGCTTAGGCTGCCATAACAAAATACCATACACTGGGTAGCTTAAACAATAGAAGTTTATTTTCTCACAATTCTAGCAGTTGAGAAGTCCCACTGCCACCCCCAACCCCAGGCTCCAGATGGCCCCATCTCTAAGGCTTCCATTAGCGGCCCTCCAGCCTGTTGAAATAGAGGCCCTTGACCTGCTGAAGCATAGAGCTGAATAGATCCATGGTCTGGTTCTGTTAAATCTACGAAGTCTGATAGCTTTCTTTCATTTTGTCTCATTTTTCTATTCCCTTTAGTTTTTCTGTACCAAGCTGGCAGTATATAATCCTATCTCTATTCCTGGCTTCTGTTGAGGTGGCTGTTAAAATCCTCATGAGTCATACCTATGATCTCCTTATTAAATGGTTGTTCACCCACACCCTGAGCGCTATCTTCAGAACAGTCTTCTCATTTTTTGCAATATGGATAGGCTGAGAACTTTCCAAATCTTCAAGTTATGGTTCCTTTTTGCTTAACAATTCCTTCTCCAATTCATCTCTCTCCTTTCTCATATTTTAGTATAAGCAGTCAGGAGTAACCAAGCCTCTCTTTCAACACTTTGCTTAGAAATCTCCTCAGCTAAATATCCAATTTTATCACTCACAAGTTTTACCTTTCACAAAACACTAGAACACAATTCAGCCAAGTTCTTATGCCATTTTCTAACAAGGATTGTTTCCTTCCAGTTTCCAATAACATGTTCCTTATTTCCCATCTGAGATCTCACCAGAATCGCCCTTAACATCCACATTTCTAGCACGCACCTCAAAACTCTTCCAGCCTCTACCCATTACCCAGTTCCAAAACTTCTTCCACATGCTTAGGTACTTATTACAGCAGTACCCCACTTCTTGGTACCAGAATTTATATGTCAGGTTCTCCAGAGAAACAGAACCAATAGGGTGGAGGTATAGGGAGAAAGGGAGTGAGAGGCAGAGAGAGGGGGAGATTTAGAAAGAATTGACTCACATGATTATGGACTCTGAGAAGTCCTAAGATCTGCAGGCAGCAAGCTGGAGACCCAGACAGTTTAGTTCCAGTCTGAGTCCAAAGGCTTGAGAACCAGGAGAGCCAATGGCTAGTTCCAGCCCCAAAGCTGGCAGGCTTAAGATCCAAAGAGAGACAGTGTTTCTGTTCAAGTCTGAAGGCAGGGAAAGACTTGTGTCCCAGCTCAAAGGCAGCACCAGTTCCCTCTTGCTCAGCCTTTTTGTTCTATTTAGGTCTTTAATTGATTGGATGAGGCCCACCCACATTAAGGAGGGTGATCTTCTTTACTGATTCAAATATTAATCTCCTTCAGAGACACACCCAGAACATCTGACCAAATATCTGGGCACTCTGGGGCCCAGTCAAGCTGACGCATAAAATTAACCATCAAAGCGTTATCGGACTTACAAATATGATTAAGACATTTTTTTCCCTTGAAGAGCTTACAAATTAGTGCCAGAGACAGACTAGAGACAAGGTAGAGGGAGACAGATGCTATAATAAAGGCAAAGAAACGTGTTGAGGAAGAGGAGAGAGATGATCTTTTAATTTTGGTTTGGCATATCAAAAGGGGGTTTAATGCGAGTCCTGCCATCTGAATAGCCTTGAATATAAGTAGAATCTGGATAACTGGTGATAAAGGAGAGGAGGGAACTATAAATTGTAGGTGCACAATGCACAGTGTGTGAAGGTGCATAGTATAATTATAACCAGTACTAGCCTGCAATGGCTTGGATATCAATCTGTCAAGTAAAAACAATTAAAAAGCAAATTAAATCTTTAAAGCAGTGTTCAAAAAAATGCCAAGGCAGGGGATGGGGTGTGTTGCATTCATATTACACAGCTAAACTTCATACTACCTTCTTTCATAATTTTTCTCCCAAATCTCCCACATGAATGACCATGCGTGGCAGCTACTCCAAAGCCTCTCTTCTCCTACACTCTAAAACCTCCAAAACATCCTCCCAACCCAGCCTATGCACAGGTTTTTGTTTCCTCTGCCTCGTTTTTACTGGTACTTTTTCTTCCATCAGTAACTCTCTGTTCTTTATAATATAAATTCATCTAGCTTGCTTCTCCAGTTCTGTCCCTAATCCATTACCTTCATCTACTTTATAAAAGCATAGGAGCTAATAAGACAATTCCAACCCCTTAAGGGCTGGGAGACAGAAGATGCCAAAGATATCCCCTATGTTCATAATGTTTACCTCTTACATTTGAAAAATAGCAAGTGTGCTTTGCTTATGTATTTTTTCATTGAAAGCAGCAAATCAATAAATCACTCGGGGGCTTCCCTGGTGGCGCAGTGGTTGAGAGTCTGCCTGCCGATGCAGGGGACGCGGGTTCATGCCCCGGTCTGGGAGGATCCCACATGCCGCGGAGCGGCTGGGCCCATGAGCCATGGCCGCTGAGCCTGCGCGTCCGGACCCTGTGCTCCGCAACGGGAGAGGCCACAACAGTGAGAGGCCCGCGTACCGCAAAAAAAAAAAAAATAAAATAAAATAAATAAATAAATAAATAAATAAATCACTTGATATGCAAAGACTACAATATAGACTTTGAAAGGATGTAGTGGGAAGTCTGGCTGGAAAGGGCTAATATCTATGGGCATTTCCTATGTGGCATGCAATATTTAACTTTGAAGGCCATGCTGTTAGTCTGAAGTTTATTCCACAGCCCTTGGGAGCAATGGAAGATTAGCGATTAGGAAACTGACATGTTCAGATTGTACTTTAAGGTCTACCTGTAAGATTAATGCATGTAAAATGGGGTAGATGGAGGCAAAGATGAGAGGCAGGAACACCAATAAGGAATCTGAGAAGTCCAGTTGAGAATTGCCCAGCATCCATCATGTTGGACTTTCTTGGCTATAAGAAAGAGAGGTCTGTGCAGACCATTATAAATATAAGGTGTTTGTTTAAAGGATACCCAGTGGGACAGGAACTAGACCGGAAAACCCTCAGGATCTAAGGCAGCTCTGGTGACGGGGGACTCTCTTCACCTTTTCCTCTCATGGTCTCTCCCCCACACTTCCTTGGGTCTGTTCCACTATCTTCTTGGGCTCAAAGACCCATCCTCTCCTTACCTTCATATCCAAGCCACAGAAGGAGGCTCTCAAGAAGATTCAGTTAATTAAAGCACCCCTGTAGGCATCCCCAGTCAGCAGCCTCCAGTACAGAGAGGAGAGCTGGTCAATCCTTTACAGAGTGGGCTGTCAGCTGGGCAAGTGGGGAAGAGGCAGTGGATGTGGCTGTCACCATAATTAATACTTGTACTTGTTATATGTTTGGAGAGAAGGGTGTGACTTCTATCTTAGGCCAAAAATCAATTTAATTAAGTATCATTCTTCATTATGCCATAGCTAGCACTCTGACCTTGACCAAATCACTTCTATTCTCTATGCCTTCGTTTCTTCATCATTCAAGTGGAGATAAAAGTAACAACACTTAGAATTTAGCATTCTTCAGAATTATTAGCCATATTTAGTTAACGTGAGGTTTCACGTCTGTGCCACTTCTGGTTAACTGAGAATAACAATACCTTATATGTGTAATTACAGTTTGCAAATCAAGTTCACATCCATTTGATTTGATCCTCACAAGAGCACTTTACGGTAGGTAAGACAGATATCATTACCTCCATTTTTCTGAGATCCAGAGATGTAGTCAAGGTCACGTAGCTCTTAAGTGACAAAACCAGGATCTGAATTCCCATCTTCAAAACCCAAGTCCAATACGTTCTCCTCTTATTTGGTCTCAAGATTTCAGTTGCTTGGTCTCAAAAAGTGTAGCTTTGGGGCTTCCCTGGTGGCGCAGTGGTTGAGAGTCCGCCTGCCGATGCAGGGGACATGGGTTCATGCCCCGATCCGGGAAGATCCCACATGCCGTGGAGCAGCTGGGCCCGTGAGCCATGGCCTCTGAGCCTGCGCATCCGGAGCCTGTGCTCCGCAGCGGGAGAGGCCACAGCAGTGAGAGGCCCGTGTACCGCAAAAAAAAAAAGTGTAGCTTTTTTATCTGCTGTTAGCAGATCTGCTGTAGGTATCAAAACTGTCGTCGTAATACTCTTTCTATTCTTATGTCTTCTTTTTTCATGCCTCTCCTGTTTTGTATATTTCTAATTTATTACAGAAGTCCCTGTTTGGCTTTTTAGTAATGAAGGATTTGGTTGTAGATGTTCCAAAGCTTCCCTTGGCATTGACCCTTGTTTCCTGAATTGTAGGAAGACACTCCATCACAATTCACTACTCTCACCTCAGCTGGGAACACCGGGGAGGATGGAATCCTGAGCTGCACTTTTGAACCCGACATCAAACTTTCTGATATCGTGATATAGTGGCTGAAGGAAGGTGTAATGGGCTTGGCCCATGAGTTCAAAGAAGGCAAAGATGACCTGTCGGACCAGCATGAAATGTTCAGAGGTCGGACAGCAGTGTTTGCTGATCAAGTAATAGTTGGCAATGCCTCTCTGAGGCTGAAAAATGTGCAACTCACAGATGCTGGTACCTATAAGTGTTACATCATCACTTCTAAAGGCAAGGGGAATGCTAACCTCGAGTATAAAACTGGAGGTAAGTTACTTTTGAAGAGAGGGAAAGAAGGTGCCAGAAGATATTTGAGACTAGAGAGTGTGAATTGCTGATGAAATGTCATATTATGCTCACGAGTGACTAATATCAAAGACCATCCGAATTCTGCTAGCAGCCATCCTTGCTGTCCAAGACCCACACCAGCTCCGGAAGTAACCCACTATAATATTAGGTCTTAAAATCTTTTGCTCAGGACTCTAGCCTCTTCTGAATTTTCTCATATATTCCCTGAAATATTTTGCCAGAATATGTTTTCTCCGTCAGTAGCTCTCTGTTCTTTCCCTTTGGTCTTGCTAGTGAGAGAAAGACTATAATCTGGTCTGAGGCTTTTCTGTGCTAGGTAGGCCCTAGCCCAAGTCTGAAATCAGTATCTCCAGGGACTCACGACAGTGGAACCCATTATAGGAGAAGTTCAAAGGTAAATGACCAAAACAATATTGGCCTATAAACTCACTAATCCTCCTCCAATGAAATCCATGCTTTCTTACCAACTAAATTTAACATATTTTCTGAATTTATGTACAAGGGACTGAGATATTGGAAGGAGTAAAAAGGCGATTAAGAAAACAAAGATAATTGTCCTTCCTTCTGTAGAGCTGAGAGTGTAGAGCTTATAGAGTTGAGGGTCAGGGCAGAGATGAGAAACATATGTAAATAAGAAAAACATGTAGATAAGAAACGTATCTACAATAATTAGTAAAGTGTATTAATGCTTTAAGAGAAAATATAAATAGAGTGATTTGGGGATTCAGAGGAAGAAAGAGATCATATCCAAATGCATAGGGAGGAAAGGGACAGGAAGGCCCCCATAGAGAGAATTTGACATTTGGGAGGAGCCTTGAAGGATAGGCAGAAAGTATCCTGAGGCATCCCAGGCTAAGCTAGCCTGCACAGATCTTTCTTGGACCTTTCATAATATGTGTATGTAGTGGTTTGAAGCATAGATCTAGTCAGACCTAGGCACATACAGTGGCCTGGGCAAGGCAACCTCACTGAGCCTCAGCTTCTTTATCTTAAAATAGGGGTTAATAAAGTCAGGTCAAAGGGACACTGGGGCCAACTGAAAGGGCTTCCAATGGCAAAGCTGGAACCATTTGAGCAACAAAATAAACAATATAGTATTAAATTATAACTAAGCATAAAATAAATACACGAGTCCATACTTATATGAGGGAGATGAAACAAGTCTTCTTTATAGATGAATTCCAAATAATGTATTTAGATCTCTCCCCCTGCAGGAAGCGGAGCTTAGAACTTCCCCCTCCCCGACCACCGCACTTAGGGTGTGTTAGACTTAGTGAAGTCCAGCTTCCAAAGAAACCTGGCAAACACAGACTCAGCCAGGTGATCAAAGTTAACATCCCCATGATAAATCGTGTTAAGAGCATGCACTCTCTGATGTGACATGATGAGAAGGGCACTTTTACTTCTATAGTTTTCCTCTCCAAAACCCATAACCTCATTCTAATCTTGAGAAAAACATCAAATTACAATAGAGGGGCATTCTACAAAATACCTGGCCAGTACTCCTCAAAACTGTCCAGATCATGCAAAACATGGGAAGACTGAAAAACTGTCACAGACCAGAGGAATCTAAAAAGACATGACAAATAAGTGCAATGTGGTATTCTGGATGGGATCCTGGGATATAAAATGGACGTTAGTGGAAAAACTGGTAAAATCCAAATAAAAGCTGGTTTAGTTAATAGTAATATACGAATGATAGTTTCTCAGTTTTGACAAATGCATCATGGTTATTTAAGATGTTAATGTTAGGGGAAACTGGGTGAGAAGTATACAAGAACTCTCTGTACTAATCTTTGCAACCTTTCTGTAAATCTAAAGTTATTCTAAAATTAAAAGCTTATTTTGTTAAATGGGCACAATAATAGATATCCCTAGGACTGTTGTGAGGAACAAAAAAAAATGTCTGGAATTTGGTCCCTAGCACAGAGCACACCCTCAATACACGGTGGTTCATTGTCACGTGCACTCAGGTTCCCACATCATCTCCCAGGAGCTTGTGCCCTGCCTGCTCCAAGTATGTGCTCCAAGTACGTCTCTCCTGCTAGGCAGCAGGCTCTTGAAGGGCATGGCAAAGGCTTTCCTTCCACCTCTCACTCCACACTAGCACAGTCCTGGGCAAAGGAAGATGCTAAATAAATTAATGATTTGTATCTTGCCCTTTTGGCATAATAAACATTTTACAGGCCGAAGTCCAGGCCTTAACATTTTCTATAAGTGTCTCTCTGCCTAGATAGAGGAGGAAGTTAGTCTTAAATTCAAAATGTACTTGCCTCTCCAGTGAGGAGAATTATCTTAAAAGAAAACAAATGCCTGTCTTTATTCATGGATACCAGGGCTGGGCAGTCTCTACCCAAGCAAACTTCAGATCCCCATGATGACAAGGCCTGTGTATGGAATTTCTGTGGGTAGGTGAATGCTGTTTGTTTCTTCCTTCTCCCTCCCCACGCTTTTACCCTCCAGGCAGAAAAATTACATAAAATTCAGGAGGCTTCATAGGTGCCTAGGAAAATAAATACCCAGTTTCCCTAATTGATAATTTTTTTGTGTGATCACTGGAACTTCTTTTACTTGGAGAAATTTATTTGTTGTAACAAGTATACCTAGAACTTAGGTCCTTGGAGTTTGTGATATTGTCCAAAGTGTTGTGATGTATAGCAATACTATGAGCAAATCATTTTTTGCATCTACAATACAATGGGTCATACATAGACAGCCCACTGGGAAAGTACTGAGTCACTTCAATGTGTTTTTAAGACCTAGCACTTCAAAGGCTATATTGTCTTATCCGTCTGACCTTGACCCCTGCCCCTTTTTGACCTTCAACCCTGCAGCCTTCAGCATCCCAGAAGTGAACGTGGACTGTAACGCCACCTCAGAGAGCTTACGATGTGAGGCTCCCTGATGGTTTCCCCAGCCAACAGTGGTCTGGGCATCCCAAGTTGACCAGGGAGCCAACTTCTCAGAAGTCTCCGACACCAGCTTTGAGCTGAACTCTAAGAATGTGACCATGAAGGTTGTATCTGTACTCTACAGTGTCACGATCAACAACACATACTCCTGTATGATTGAAAACAACATTGCCAAAGCCACAGGGGATATCAAAGTGACAGGTGAGTTCCTTTACACGTTTGGTATGGGTTTATTGGGGTTATAATCTAGTGTAAACTAAAATCTAATTTCTTTAACAGATATATTACGTACCAGGGCATAGAAAGTTTCACAGAGATCTCGATCACAATTCCAGTTGGGATTGCATTATGTAAGAAGAAAACTAATACAAAACAATATTTTATGGCATACAGGTCAAAGGTGGCAATGAGTTTTCATCTTGTATACCTTCTTACTGTCTGGAGGGCAGTGTTTAGGATTCTGAGGCCCTAACTCAGAAGGATTGGTTTGGTAAAGCAGTGGAGAAGAAGTGATAATGATTTGAAATCTTTGATATATTCAGCTGGTGATCTACATCCCGAGTCCCCCAAAATTGGTTTGGGTCTATCCTGCCTTTGAGAAGACTTCTGATTTGAAGACTAAAGGTCTCAGAGTCTGCCTTAGTCTTTCTTGTTCAGTCCTTCCAGGACTTGCTCAAGATTCCACTAATATTGGCACAAGATTAATCTGAAAGCTCCAGATTACGCTGGCCTCCCAGGCTGAGAAGACCCGGAGCCAGGGAGGCGCAACACCCTAGTCTCCCTGCAGTGCTTTAGTATATTACAAAACCTAGGGTTGAGCTAGTGTCAAGGAAATGCATAGACTGAATTATGAATTTTAAAACCATCCCTGCTGGGGTTAAATTGAATTCAAGCTATAGGGGAAGGAGTGTATCAGGAGAACCACTGTCTTATATCAAGCCTAGTACCAAAGAGAACACCTTGCTCATTTTAAGTGCCCTTTAAATGTTTGCTGAATTTAACTGAATAAACCATATTTTCATCAGCTATTTTTAAAATAATTTTATTTATTTATTTATTTGGCCACATTGGGTCTTCATTGCTGGGCGCAGGCTTTTCTCTCTAGTTGTGGTGAGCAGGGGCTACTCTTCGTTGTGGCGCACAGGCTTCTCATTGTGGTGGTTTCTCTTGTTGCGGAGCATGGGCTCTAGGCACACGGGCTTCAGTAGTTGTGGCACGTGGGCTCAGTACTTGTGGTTCGCAGGCTCTAGAGTGCAGGCTCAGTAGTTGTAGCGCACAGGCTTAGTTGCTCTGCAGCATGTGGGATCTTCCCGGACCAGGGATCGAACCCGTGTCCCCTGCACTGGCAGGTGGATTCTTAACCACTGAGCCACCAGGGAAGTCCCTCATCAGCTATTTTTTAATTAAAATTTATATATACAAAAAGGCAACCTACGGAATGGGAGAAAATATTTTTAAATCATATGTTTGGTAAGTGATTAGTATTCAGAATACGTAAAGAACTTCTATAATTAAACAATGAAAAAGTCAAATAACTTGGTTAAAAAATGGGCAAAGGACTCGAACAGACATTTCTCCAAAGAAGATATACAAAATGGCCAACAAGTATATGAAAAGATGTTCAACATCCCTAATCATCAGAGAAATGTAAACGGAAACCACGGTATCACCTCATACTAACCAGAATGGCTACTAACAACAACAACAACAGAAAACAACAAGTGCTGGTGAGGATGAGAAGAAATTGGAATACTTGTGTATGATGGTGAGACTAAAACGGTGCAACCACTACAGAAAACAGTGTGGGAGGGTCCTCAAAAAACTTAAAATAGAACCTCCAAATGATCTAGCAGTCCCATTTCTGTGTATTATGTACAAAAAAACTGAAAGCAGTGTCGCAAAGATATATTTGCACACCCATGTTTACAGCAGCATTATTCACAATAGCCAAGAGGAGGAAGCAGCCCCAACGTCCACCAGCAGATGAATGGATAAACAAAATGTGGTATACATACAATGGAACATTATTCAGCCTTAAAAAGGAAGGAAATCCTTTTGCATGCTACAACATGGATGAATTTTCAGGATATTATGCTATAAGTGAAGCCCGTCACAGAAAGATAAATATTATTTGATTCTACCATTTGATTCCACTTATAAAGTATCTGAAGTAATCAAATTCATAGAAACAGAAAGTACAATGATGGTTACCAGGAGCTGGGGCCAAGGGGAAAGGATACGGAGTTGTTGTTTAATGGGTATAGTTTCAGATTTGCAAAATGAAAATGTTTTGGAGGTTTTTTTCACAAGAATGTGAATATACTTAACATTACTGAACTGTACACTTAAAATGGTTAAGATAGTAAGTTTTATATTACATTTTTTACCACAATAAAAAAAAGTATCTAATAAAAGATCATATATATGAGAAAGAGAGCTCTTCCACTATCCCGTGAAACAAACTGGTGACTGTACCAATTAGAACACTTTTAGTTGCCTATAACAGAAAACAAAACCAACTGAAGCCTAAGCTAAAAGAAGGAAGTTATTAGAAGGGTATTAGGATGTCTCATGAAACCAAGGACAGAAAGTGCAGTGTGGCTTCAATAACAGCTGGATCCAAGAACTTAAATTCCATTCTTTGTCTCTCATTTCTACTTTATTCTCTTTGCTCTCTAATTTACTCTCTCTTGTTTTAGTCTATAGGGCAGAATATGGTTGCCAAGAGCTCCTACCTTTAAAAGTCTCTTTCACTCAAGAGAGTAACTAGACGGAAGCTCAATCCCTCAGTCTGATTCTATTGAATATACTCCCAGAACAGCTCAACTTGGGTCAGCTGCCCATACTTAGACCAATGAGGCAGTACCTGGATGGAAGGCCTTCCCAGAAGAGAAGGGGGAAATAAGCATTAGGCATTTAAAACAATGAGTGTTAACAACAGTATTTGAGTTTAGATCTCAATTAAAAGCTCCAGACTATATAACTAATGTCTTCTAATAGAAATGGCAATAACCAAACAAACCACAGAAATTGGGCACAGCTTTTATTCAGTGAGCAGGTTCTTTTTCCATACGTGCTTATAGGATACATCAGAACAAGTGTTCCATGTACCATTACTAGGACTATATCCAACTTTTAGAAGCATGACATAGCTCAAAATTAAGATAAAATAACATAATTCCTTCTTACCATGCACAAAGTAAGTTTTTAAACAACTGAATGAGGCCATGAGGTTTATATCCTGTGTTCTCTAACTATACTGCTCATCTGGGTCATTCATTCAACAAGTATCTATTTAGTGCCAAATATATACAAAGTAATTTGTAAGTCCCATGAAACACTGAGATGAATAGCACAGTTGTCATAAGAGAAGTTGATCAGTGTGGATACGGTACCCACAGGAAAGAGCAGTTAATTACGACTGTAGTGGCTCAATAGATGAGGAAGAGTTCAAGCTGGGTTTTGAAGAAAAAGAATGGTTTTGATAGACTAGGAAGGCATGAAGTCAGAAGCCTATGTCAATGTCCAGGGGAGAAATTACGAGGGCCTTAACTGGGGCAGTGACAACGGGAAGGAAAGGTGGGAGAATCAAAAGTTAATGAAGAAAATAACCTACAGGCCTTGGTGACACAAATGTGAAGGACAAGAGAAGGAACAAGTCAAAAGGGGTCTGCTATTGCTATATCCAGGTTGCTCAGGAGGTTAGTAATGCTACCAACAACAAAAATGAGAATGTAGGAAAAGCAACATGTCTGGTAAAAAGATGGAAGATTTTAGAGCTGTTGAGTTGAAAGTGCCCACTATGTACAAAGGTAGAGATGTCCAGTGCTTAGCACATTACCCAGCATACACCAAGTCTGGGGGAGACTGCTTCATCCCTCCTCGTTTCCTTCCACGGGAAGAGATCCCCACCAACGTAACCCTTCTAGTCTCTCTTCTCTCCTCTTTCACTCTTCCCCAGAGGAAGAGAAATTAACTTTCCCGATTAGTGAGTTTATTAGGAGAAGCTGGGTATAAATAGCTCAGCTCCTCATTTTTCCTTTTCTCTCTAGCTAACCAGAAGTATACATTCTACTCTTCTCCTCTAAGCCAACAGTTTTCAGGGGTAGAATCTGCCCTTGTGGGAGGAAGCCTTCCCCAGTCTTGTGCTGCCTGTCACTGGGGAAGTCTGGGCTGCAGCCCACTTCCCTGCAGACAAAGCTTAATCCTTTATTATCAGATTTATCAGGAATAAAGGTGATTTTAGTCTTCCAGTTGCCTCACTTTGTCTTGCTCTTTAATTGGTTCAGAACTCAGCTGGGGAGACGGTGTTTATTGGACTCCTTTGAACTCAAACAGGTGCTCAAAAATATTTGCTGAATAATTATATTTTTAACTGACATACAGTAGCAACTGTAAATACAGATGTGGAATTTAGGACAGAATTCGGGCTAAGGAGGTGGATTTGGAAAATGATCAGCTTAATGGAAGTAATGTTTATTAGGCTTGAGTGGGGTTACTGTTATTGTCTTGACAGCTAATACTTAACTGAATGCTTACTATGGTGCCAGGTTCTAAGTGCTTTACTTGTATTAACTCATTAATCCTCACAAGAATCCTATGAAGTTGATTATTATTATTTTGGCCCTATTTTATAGATGAAGAAACTGTAGCACATATAGAGTAACTTGCCTGAACTTGCCTGAAGTCACACAGCTAGTAAGTGTCAGAGCTGAAATGAGCTAAATGACACTGGACTGTCGAGGGAGAAAATAGAGTAAAGAGTAATTTAATTTCTTCACTTCTGCCTTTCTCTACTTCAAAATGAGAACAGTACTTTCTCATTACTCTGTAGTGGTGTGATGAAAGCAAATGACACAGAACGTGTAAAGGTCACTGCCTAGAGGGAAAAAAATGTGTCTGACACCAAGGACTGGCCATGGCTGTTGGTTTAACCTATTCTTTATTTGGTAACCAATAGCAATGTGTTTATTGGATTCGTTTTTCATTTGGCTGAGTGCTCACTGGAGTGGACGAGAGAATGGAACTTCTTTGCAGAAAGGGAAAGCTCTGCTTTTAAGCTAGTTACAGAAAGGCAGAGAATGGGGTACAAAACTGCCCTCAAATTAGGGCACAAGTTATATTAGGAACAATTTGTTCTGTTTTTTTGGGGGTATTTTTCTTTGCTAACCAGCCATGTGAAGGAGACATCCAGCTTTTCCTCTATGACCCTGAACTTTTTTCTCTCCCTTTACAGACTCTGAGATTAAAAGGCAAAGTCACCTCCAGCTGCTGAACTCAAAGGCTTCCCTGTGTGTCTCTTCTGTTGCCATCACCTGGGTACTCCTGCCTCTCTGCCCTTACCTGATGCTTAAATAATGCACCTTGGCTACACAGAAACATGCAGAGTCACTGGTACGACAGGTGAGATGAATCACGAATGGTGTCGGGGAGCCACTATGTGTGTTTGTGTCCCTAACAGGAATCAAGCAGCTCCCAGCACCAGCCCCAGAGAGAAACATTTAATAACGTCAGGGCAGTAGGCACTATTTCCACTGCTACTGTGAAAGGTAAGCATTTGTTAACAAAGAGTAGAGACCTGACTGACAGGCGCACAGGAAAAACAACTCTATGCAATTCAAATATTTGTGTAAATTCAAACACCTTTTCATTTATTCAGTCATCCCTGAAGGCAAACATCTCTTACTGAAGAGGAAGAGATATTTGGCCCTGACTCATTACTCTGGATTTCACAATGAAACATCATGACATGAGCATAATCGCTCGCATAAGTGGCCTCCTCCCAGCCCCCCTCAACAAAGCCCCTGTTGACTGGAGACTTGACAAAGCACTCACCAACTAGCCCTCTTGCTAAGACTTCCCACTCTCACTTCACTCCTTTGGCTCTAATTACTGGTAGGACATCTCCCTCTGAATATTCTTCTGCATGTGGAATTTGTATACAGCTGAGCTTGTGAAGTTACAGTCAACACTACCACATTACTCAGTGGCACTGCCACCATGCACCAGGCTCACGACCTTAGAGCTATTTTTGTCCCCCTCTGTCCTTCAGGTCAATTTGTTACCAAGCTCTACAGTATTTGCCCATGTTGTCTTTCAGATTGACCCTAATCATCTCATGCCCCGACTAGTTCTAAAACCTTGTACTTGCTCCTCCCTCTGCTTCAGGTGATAGGAAACAAGGTGCCAGAATAAAATTTTTCAAATGCTATTTTCATCACAGCAGTCCTTTACTCTGCAACCTAAAGTGACTCTCTGGGCACTAGTATATCAAAGTTAAAGTCCTCAGCTATGCAGTCACAGCTCTCTAAGTTTCTCTCCCTAAGGTTCCTCCTTCTCTCAGCTACCTACTACTGCTCTCTAGCCTTGCTCCCTCTCTCTCTGCCCCTTCCTGGAAATCTCCTCTACTCTATGCTAATTCAGGTCCACACTTCCTTCACCCATTTCCTGCTGGTCCTTTTATCTCACATCCCCTTGGTGAGCATGTATAATTTATAATATCTTACACTCTCTAAGGCACATATATTCCTTGCCTAGATTGTTAAGTCCTCAAGGGCAGACAAAAATCTGTTGATCTGCTTTGCTTTTTTGAGTGTGGTAAAAAAAATTTTTACATTTATTTTAAAAAATAGTGATTGAGATGACCTAGAGGGGTGGGATAGGGAGGATGGGAGGGAGGCTCAAGAGGGAGGGGATATGGGGACATGTGTATGCATATGGCTGATTCATTTCGTTGTGCAACAGAAACTAACATGGTATTGTGAAGCAATTATACTCCAATAAAGATGTATTAAAAAAAGTGGTTGAAATACAAATATAAAGTTGTATACTTAGATAAAAGGTAGTACATGGATATTATAAAAATTGCAAAGGTGGTATGCAAACAACGAAATCAGAGGAAACCCTTTCTTATGGGGCTGTTGTGGGATCAGGTCAGATGTTTCCCGAGGTAAGCTTGTGTCGCTCTAAACTTCCCTCTTAGAACTGCTTTTGCTGTGTCCCGTAGATTTTGGGATTGTGTTTTCATTTTCATTTGTCTCTAGGTATTTCTTTTTTATTTCCTCTGATTTCTTCATTGACCCATTGGTTGTTTAGTAGCATATTGTTTAGCCTCCACGTTTCGGTGTGTTTTTTTTTTTTTTTGCAGTCTTTTTTTCTTGTAGTTGACTTCTTTTGTTTCATAGCACTGTGATTGGAAAAGATGCTTTATATGATTTCAATTTTTAAAAGTACCAAGGCTTGTTTTGTTGCCTAGCATGTGATGTATCCTGGAGAATGTTCTATGTGCACTTGGAAAGAATGTGTATTCTGCTTTTGAATGAAATGTGATATCTATATCTATATCTATATCTATATCTATATATATATGGATAGATAGATATAGATATAGACATTAAGGCCATCTCGTCTAATGTGTCATTCAAGGCCGTGTTTCCTTACTGATTTTTTGTCTGGAAAATCTGTCCATTGACGTAAGTGAGGTGTTAAAGTCCCCGACTATTATTGTGTTACTGCTGATTTCTCCCTTTACGTCCATTAACATTTGCTTTATGTATTTAGGTGCTCCTATGGTGGATGCATATATATTCACAATTGTTAGATCTTCATCTTGGATTGATGCCACGATCATTATGCAGTGTCCTTCTTTGTCTCTTATAGCAGTCTTTATTTTAAAGCTTATTTTGTCTAATATAAGTTTTGCCACCCCAGCTTTCTTTTGATTTCAATTTTCATGGAATAACTTTTTCCATCCCCTCACTTTCAGTCTGTGTGTCTTTAGATCTGAAGTGAGTCTCTTGTAGGCAGCATGTATACAGGTCTTGTTCTTTTACCCATTCAGCCACTCTAAGTCTATTGACTGGAGCATTTAGTCCATTTAAATTTAAAGTAATTATTGATATGTATGTGTTCTTGTTGCCACTTTGTTAATTGTTTGGGGTTTGTTTCTGTCTTTCTTGTCCCTTTCTTCTTTTGTTCTCTTCTCTTGTGATTTGATGACCATCTTTAGTGTTATGCTTGGATTCCTTTTACTTTTTTGTGTATCTAGCATAGGTTTTCGATTTGTGGTTACCATGAGGTTTTTATATAGCAATCTATACACATATATACATGATCGTATTAAGTTGCTGATCTCTTAGTTTCAAATGCATTTTAACAACCCTGCGTTTGTACTCTCCTTCCCTCACGATTACTGTTTTGATATCATACTTTACATCTATTTGTTCTGTGTATCCCTTAACTGCTTACTGAGGATATAGATGATTTTTACTACTTTTGTCTTTTAGCTTCTTACTAGCTTTGTGCATGATATGATTTCCTACATTTATGTTTGCCTTTACCTATGAGCTTTTTCCTTTCATAATTTTCATGTTTCCAGTTTTGGCCTTTTCTTTTTAACTTAAAGAAGTTCCTTTAACATTTCTTGAAAAGCTGGTTTGGTGGTGCTGAACTCTTAACTTTTGCTTGCCTGTAAAGCTTTTGATCTCTCCATCAAATCTGAACAACAGTCTTGCTGGCTAGGGTATTCTTGGTTGTATGTTTTTCCCTTTCATCACTTTAAATATATTGTGCCACTCCCTTCCGAACTGCAGAGTTTCTGCTGAAAAGTCAGCTGATAGCCTTATAGGAGTTCCCTTGTACGTTATTTGTTGCTCTTCCCTTGCTGCCTTTAATATTCTCTGTCTTCAGTTTTTGCTATTTTAATAACAATGTGTCTTGGTGTATTCCTCTTTGGGTTAATCCTGGATGGGACTCCCTGCACTTTCTGGACTTGGATGTCTATTTCCTTTCCCAGGGTAGTGAAGTTTTCAGCTATTATGTCTTCAGATATGCTTTCAGTTCCTTTCTCTCTCTCTTTGCCTTCTGGGACCCCTATAATGTGAATATTAGCACACTTGATGTTGTCCCAGAGGTCTCTGTCCTCTTTTCATTCCTTTTTCTTTTTTCTGTTCAGCGTCAGTGATTTCCACTACTGTCTTCCAGTTCACTGATCCATCATTTAGTCTACTGTTGATTCCTTCTAGTATATTTTTCATTTCAGTTATTGTATTCTTCATCTCTGTTTGGTTGTTCTATCAATATATATTTTCTAACTCTTTGTTAAAAACTTTTAACTTCTCGCTCTTTGGATCCATCCTTCTCCCTAGTTCTTTGATCATGTTTACAATCACTACCCTGAAATCCTTCTCAGGTAGATTGCCTATCTCCACTTAGTTGTTCTTCTGGGGTTTTATCTTGTTCCTTCATCTGGAACACGTTCCTCTGTCACCTCATTTTGCTACCTTGCTGTTTGTATTTTTATGTATCTGGTAGGCTGGTTACATTTTACGACCTTGGAGAAGTGATATTTTGTGGGAGACCTCCTATGCGTCCCAACAGCACACTCCTCTCTCATCACTCAAGCTGTATGCCCTAGAGTTCTTCATATGAGGATTGCATGGGTCCTCCTGTTGTCGCAGGCTGACTATGTGGGAGGTCTAGTAAGCTTGGTTAGCCCTTGGTCCAACGTTGCCAGGCCCTGTCTCATGTGGAGGCTGCTGGCTGCAGAGGCAGCTGACTGTGGAACCCCACAGGGACCCAGGGATAGTGCTGGGTCATGAGTGGATGGAGTCAGGGTCCAGAAAACTCTGGTAATATTGTCCACTGACTGATGGGTGAAGCAAGGGTGTTAGTGCCGGTCTACTGGTGGGCAAAGCCATGTCCTAGAGTCCAACTGCAGGGCCCAGGGGTCCCAGGGCTGGTCTTGGATTGCTGGGGGGGGGGGCATGGGCGCAGTTCCTGACACAGTTGGGTCTGGGGTGTCTCAAAGTTTGCGTTGGCCTGCTAGTGGTTAGGGCTGGGGCCCAGCTGCTCCCCAAGGCAGGGTCTGGCCTGCTGGTGGCAGGCTAGGTCTTCAGGCTCTGGGATTGTGGTTTTCTTGCATCTAGTGTCTGCCCCCTTGTGGATGAAGCTGGCCCAGAGGCTAGAATAGGCTTCCTGGAGGGCAGCATCAGGGTCCAGGGGATTCTGGGGCTGGTACCTGCCCACTGGTGGGTGGAGCTGGGTCCTGGGCCCTTTGGTGGGTAAGGCCATGTCCAGAGGCAGCTATGGGCTCAGGTGGTCTTAAGGCAGCCAGTCTGCTGATGGGTGGGGCTGTGTCCCTGCCCAGTTAGCTGCTTGGCCTGAGGCATCCCAGCACTGGTGACTATAGGCTGTTGGGTGGGGCCAGGTCTTGGTGCTGATGAGCTAGAAGGAGAGTTTCACAATGGCATTTGCCAGTACCAGTGTCTACATGGTGGGAGCTCCCCAAAATGGCTGCCATCAGTTCTTGTGTTCCTAGGGTGATATGCAGTTGCCTCCTGCCTCTCTGGGAGACATTCCAGGATCAGCAGGTATGTCTGACCCAGGCTCCTATCAGATTACTGCTTCTGCCCTGGGTTCCAAAGCATGTGAGATTTCGTGT